GCAAAGTGAAGTTCAGTCAAATTAATCATTCTGTCAGACAATGAGAGCAGAGTACCCCAGGGCTAAAAGGGAGACAAGGCCTTTCAGCAAGAAGAAGAATATGCTGTGCTACTGTATGTGTTCGGGACTTGTTATTCGTTTTCACTAAAGGAGGCGGAGATGGGGACGGCGAGGCTTATGTAGTGGTGTGCTTTCACTTTCTGTACACTGGTGAATAGATCTACCGGGCCGGGAAGCCTTTTCCCATAAGAGGGGATAAATGTATGTACCTGAAGGAGAGGACAATGCAGGAACATCACATTTAGAGCCTTATTCATCAAGTTCATAGGTGGTGTCAGGCCTCTGCCAAACGTTGCGTTTTCAGAGCAGTGTCAACGGAGGAGCCGTTGCGCGCTTCCCGTGTACGTTCACGTCTGGCTTGTGTCCGTTTGGAGCGTGTGTGTCCTCCAGAGAGAACCGCACCAGATCCGGCTGCAGTGTTAACAGAATTTGTCCAACTTTCATTTGACTTAGAACGGTAATCTAAACCTTTACATAAACGTCTGAGATAATTACACACTTTCCGAGGTTCGTGCTAATAACTGGTTTTGTAATTATAAGCTTGTCCCCAGGAGTCAATCATTTCTTGAATGGTTACATATCAGGTTTTTGTCCTAATGAGGTCCTTTTAGTCATGCAGTTCAAACTCGAGCTCATAAGAAGTTCAACATTAAAATCTCCATCTCCGTTGATGTATTACGGAAATAAAATTAGATTTTACAACTCTTTTAATTAAATACTTTTAAACAATGTCCGCAGTTCTCCAAAATTAACAAGGCTCACTAAAGCCTTTTTACTTTATTTCTATCTTGTTAGAAATGATTAAATTGTTCAAAAATAAAAATGCACCACGACACAGATGTCTTTAAATGTAGGCCGTAAAGTGAACCATTAATTGAATTATTCTCTAAATATTTAGTTATGTTTTTAAATGTGGGTTTTTTCACATATAGGTAATAAATAAAATGATAAATAAAATTAAAATTTGTAAGTTATTACCAAATAGACAATGTTTGTCTGAGCCTTTTGGGTACAGCACACCTTTATTGTCATTGTTTTTTATTATCTATTTAGCTTTCATATACTATCTGCAATTTTGTAAGAAAAAAACATGAACTTGGACACATTTGACTTTTTTTTTTTTCCATGCAAATCCTTGATAACAGTCCAACACTTTTAAGCAGCATAACCGCCCCGATGTATTCTACGAAAAGGATTCCTTCATTCTCGTAATGGACCTGAAATCTGCAAAAACTATAGCCAAAGGAGTGCATAAAATATTTTACATTTTACAGATAGTTGCAGGAAAAAAAAAATTAGAAAATCAACAACAAAGCATGTTGCTGATTTCTTTTCCTCTTTCTCTGCCAAAATTACGAGCAGCTTTCAGGGGAGAGTACTTTCTCTGATCTTCATAACTCAAACAACGTTCGTCCTTTTTATAATATGAAGCTATTTGCTCTGGCTTTGATTTGGATGACTATATAAATATGGATGAATATTCTAGTAAACACATAACGCCTCTAAACAAGATTGGAGGAGCCACTTCATGGCCCTTACAGAAATAAGTTTTGACTTGCAGATATTTAGCACCTGGAATTAAATGTGTAAATTTTCCCACTGGGATAAGGATCTTCTAAATGTATTTTCCTTTTTATTAATGGCTGAATTTTATCTTGCCATCATCCATACCATCATGTCCATAACGAGTGGGTCTCGTATCCATCGAAAGATAACGGAGCCGTTGCACGCATTTACACCTAAAGGGAAATTAGAGAGACCAATTAACCTAAGATGCAGATTTTTGGGCTGTGGGAAGAAATGAGTTTCCACAGAGAACCCACTCGATGCAGAATTACCCCAGGGTAAGATTTGAACTTTAAACCTGGTTGAGGCAATGCAGTGTTGGAAACAACTGAACAATCACAGTTGCAATACTTCAATTCATCATTTTTAACTTTTTCATCTTTCTGGTCATTTATGCACCAAATTTAATTTCCCAAAAAATAAACATTAATACTTCCTTTCTCATTCTGCCGGCAACTGATACATCTTCATTTTTGTGACACGCACACAAACCACCACCCATCACTGCAAATGGCAGACATCTTCCTTTCTTTATTCATCATCATTCGCTTCTCTCTCACTTTTTCACATGGCCCATGTACCTTTAAAGCCCTGCTTTTCAGTATGCCTCACACATCGATTTATCTCACTCACACACACCCAGAAAAAAAAAAAGAAAATCTCTAAAATGCACATACACACAAAGTTCTTATCTTTTGCTTCCTTTCATCTATTTTCCCCTTCCCTTCTTCCGTTTCTGTGGTCGGAGGACGGCTGTCTCCACCACCAGCATCATTCAGATCCCTTCTGGATGTGGTTGTGAACACGGTGGGGGCAGTCAGAGTGATATATGGCCGTAATCCCACCGCTGCAGAATGACACGGCTGTCAGTTGCCATGGGAGACTACATGATTTATACTCTGCTGCTGTGCTTATGGTTTGATAAAAGTGATGTTAAGGGCCTGTTCCTGCAGCTGACAGCATCATTATTCGCTAAGCCATACAATAAATGTTGCATTGAAAAAAATATATATATTTTAAATATATTTTCACCATTCTCCACCAGTTTGATATTTTATAATAACTACTCTTAATGTTTGGTAAAGGCTCCGTGTTCTACGTATTTAATTTGAATTATTTGTCATCAAACACTCTTGGTTCCCTTCTGCTGCTGTTTCTGCTGTGTGGCATCGTGGGATGTGTTTCATACGCCGTTGACTTTGATTTTATAAGGTCGTTGGTCAAAGTGGCACAAAGTGTGTGTAATATTTGAAGAATGAGCAGTGCATCAAAATGAAAAAAACATTTATACATGGGTGACTTCTTTGCGCTGACGAGATAGGCGCTATTGATTTCAGCAGGGCAAATATTGTCAAATAAGACCAAATCAATACAGATAATATACAGGGCTGTAAAAGAACACAGCGTAAAGGCAACATGAAATATAAGATAACATTATTTCTGAGTGTTGTGGGGTGTTTTTAGTCTTTGTAATTGTAGTACCCACAATACAGTGAGCACTTTATAATATTTAAATCAGATTTTAAATCTGTGTGTGTATATATATATATATATATATATATATATACACATCCTGATCTATTTACTAAAGCTAAAGGGGGACTATGATCCAAAATTCACGTTTTGGCCCATTTTTGCACTTGATTGATTTGAGTCTGTACTGCTTCTGGAAAACCATCCAGCCATTTTCTGGCAATGGGTTAATGGTTTTTGTTGTCTGGAAAATGAGCCATTTCAAAAGTCGACTTATGATGACTTGACAATCAGTTGGTCAGTTGGTTTTATGACTGTGCGCTGTACAATGGCTGTATTTCATGTACATGTATTTTCTTGTCGGAAACTGTTGCTGCATCCTTGATTACTGTGCAGAACTTTGTTTAGTCTACAGACCTGTCCTAACTTATTTAAAAGGAAGCATAGTAGCTCTTTTTGTAAAAGTATGTCTTTGTATTATAATTAAATTTTGTCGACAATGACCTAAAAATGACATATTTTTTGTACTGTTCCGGATCATGTAAAAATTTTAATTTGAAACGACGCATCAAAAATGTCTGCAGCTCGCCCTTTGAAACACACATAGCTTGCAGGAGAATATATCTCTGCTTTTGCTCGTTTTGCTTTGTTTTTGGTCTTTACAATCTCATCAGAGAGTTATGTGCAGCAGCTTCTTGCGCTGCCAACTCCTCCACATGATTATGGATCATTAATTTTTGCCGTCTGCTGTTTTATTCAGACCGGGTAATGCAATGTCAGTTTTAAACTTTTTAGACTTTTCTCTTAGAGGGGACGCTACAAAAACAATAACACAAAAGATTAAAAAAAACAATGAATTGAAAGCCAAAACCCAAATGGGATTTAATGAAGCTCCTCCGGTGAAGTAAGAAGAAAATTTAAAAGCCGGATTATTTGTGGAATGATAAAGGCAAGAAATGCCTCACACACTGCTGCGCTATTTTTACACTACAAACATGTGGCTTTCTAGAAAAACTTAGAGCTTTCAAGCAAGAGAACCATGGTAACACAGAGCTGTAGCTCACGGGTGAGAATCTGTTGACAAAAAACGATTAGGTAAGCACAGATTTTACAGAAGATTGGCAAGAAGAAAGTCACTGTTGAAAGAAAGTTATGAGAAGTCCATTTTGCATATTACCACAAGCCACAGGGACAAATGTGGCAGAAAGTATGGGATCAAGTGAAGACGAAGTTGAAAAAACTTGAACTACATGCAAAGCACTGCAACAAGGAATCTGGTCAGTCATTAAGGAAATGGAAAGGAGGTTTTAAATAATTTGAAAGCTTTACATTAAATAAAATCCCAATAAAATTGAATTTGATGGCTCTAACTTGACAAAATTGGGAAAAAAGCTCAAAGGGTACAACTGCTTTTGCTTTTGCAGTTTATGCGAGTGTCATTTAAATGCATTTATACACTTTCATTTACATCTAACATTATAACATTACGTCTAATTAGCCATCTGCATTTTTATTTCTCAATAGATTTTACTATAATCTTATAATTTTTTGATTCTCGAGTTAAACTTCTGATGGCATTTCCCTTTGATCCAACTCTTAAGTTATCGCGTGTTTATGTCTCATGCCATCTTGTAAAGTAAACATGAAATGTGGGTCCAACCTTTGATCTAACGCTGAAGTCTGCAACCTCCACCACCACTACTACCAAGCAGAAAATAAAACATTAATCCTGAGCTGGAGGTTTGGAGATTTTTTTTTTTTTTTTTTTTCTTCTTCCTCCGGCTGAATTTACTCATGGGGAAGAACACCACCTTAAAACCTGCAACAGTATAGCTCTGAGGGAACTGTATCCATGTTAATGTTTGTTTGTTTGTTGCTTTTTTTTTTCTTTAATCCTACAGGTATGGTGAACTACAGTGAGGTGTCTGGCTATCCCCTTGTCCAGCATTGGAGTCTGCGCTCTGTGTTGTACCATGTCAAACTCAACCAGTGGGTCCTGTCTCAAGGTAGATCACTCAGTTTGGGTAGCACTAAGCTCATGTCACACTGTTTGTTGTTATGCCGTGTAGGTGAGCATTCTCAGATTGACAAAATAACATTTTATCTAACATTAAGTTCTGTTTCATCCATAAATTATGCATCTGCAATGCTCTGTTTACAATTTACGAGTGTCTTCAGTTGGTTAAACAGTTGCATGCTATATAGTTATGTATAATTATATAGCATGCATTTGGCATGCCGAGGTGAGGAACTCTCTGTTGGAATAGACGGATCATTTGGACATTGCAGCATGCTATTAAGTAGCATGTGCCATTTCGATAGTATTGATTTAAATTAAAATCTTGCCATTGATTTCAGCTGGAGATCAAATTGCATAGTGTTGTTTATTCATAGCATCTAAATATCGTAATACATTTAAAGGCAGAATGAGATGGAGGAAATAACATAGCTGTTACTGTATTTTTATGCTAAAGGAAAATGTTCTTCAGTTTGCACAAAGACAAACACAGTCATATATTATCGAACACATCATAATTAAAAAGCCATGTCGAGGTTAGCCTCTTAACACAAAAGCTTGGCTCTTGTATTTTTCATTTTGATGACGGACCTCGTACACCACTTTCTTTTGATCATACATGGCATCTTCTGGCTGTTTTCAAAAAAGATTCCTTCACAGCTAAATGTGAAAAAAAAAAGTGCACATAAACTCTTGAGATCTAAATGTACATTTCCTGTTCTGAGCAACGTAATCATAATACACAGCGATAAAATACGTGGTCACAGTTTACAAGGCAAATGCTTCACATTTAAACATTTCTTAGCCTTGCAAATGTTCAATGTAGCTGTGAAATCACTCATCACAGTTATTGTGGAAACAGGCTGCGGGTAAATGTATGTTAAAAAAAAAAAAATTCTGTATGCGTCAGTGTAAAAGAAAACCACAATATGCTCATGGAGCACATTCAAACAAGAGGGACATGAAGCTGCAAGCACATCATCTGTTTACTCTTTACTCAGCTCCTTACCTGACTGTAATAAGTCTTAATACCTTTTAATATCTGACTTGTCTAAAGGCAAAAGAGTAATGTGTCTAACCAAAATGAAAATTAAACTACATAAACATGTTCTTTCTCTGAGGAAGCCTGCTCTGAATAGCAAAGATTCACATAAAAAAAAAAAAGAGGTGCTTTTTATGATGCGCTGAACCCGGGGCTTGGTAATGGGGTGCTAAAGTTTAAAAGTAAGGTTATTGCCTCGCAAGAAAAGCAAATAGAAACACACACCAGGCTGTGCCTGGGGAAATGGGTGCTTCAAACGGCTTTATACACTGTATAATAGAGGGGAGCTGTGGAAGTGTCAGAGTGGGATGAGTGATGATTAAAGTGGGATGGGACTTGCCATCTCCCGTGTCAAAAATAAATTCATCCTTAAAGACTTTTTTTTTTCCCAGATCAGTTGTCATTACTGGCATTAAAGCGATTTCCCACTGAACACTGAAGTTTATCTTCTTTATTCAAGTTTCCCTCTGCACTTCCCTGCTGCTTTGATATGCAGCGTGTCTCTCTATAAAGGAAAAGCACAAACAATCAGTGTGGCTTTGCTCCGGATTTACGTTTGTGTAGGTTCAGCCGTTTCCTTAAATGAACTCTTCTTTTAAATAAACGCAGTATAGTCATCGGTGTTTTCATGTTTCATGTCAAAAGCCTCCTTCACGAAACAGAAGATGTGCTCTCAGTGGCCGTTCATTCATTAAAAACAAGTCAACCTGGTGATATCCTGCATCTATGAGAGCTTTTAAAAATCCACCTGGCATCAGAGAACCAAAGATTTGTAGTAGTCGATGCATTTCAGTTAATCACATCATAAATCACAGCTCACAGAGTATCACACCTCCTTAAGTTTCTATTTTAAATCCTAAACTATACTGAGCTGATTTGTTGTTTCTTGGAGCGATGCTCGTCCAGCGAGCTCTTAGAAGTGGAGAGCGTGTACGTCAAATATTCGTCTCAGATGGGAGTTGACACGGTGCTGAGGCTGCCTCGCTCATTAGAGACGTAGCAGCATTAACGGTGTAACACCACCCTACCACAACCACACTCTGAAGGCAGAAATGTAGTGAGAAAATTCAAGGAGGGGCTCAGTGACTTGGCAGTTAACTGTCTTTTGTTGTTTTTTCTTTTTCTTTTTTGTGGATCTTTCCACAAAACTACAGAAAATCACTACACAGATTCTTCAAACGGTAGTAACTATTAGGAACGCAGTTAATTTCATGGTATTTGTAAAAAAAAAAAAAAGTACAACTATAAAAACGTTAGTGTTCTTGTAGGAGAAAGTCTATGTAAATAAAACTAGAAAAAAACAATCTAAAGTTGGTAAGAAAATGAAAAATACTATATAGTATTGCATGTGAAAGTGGAAACAGATTGTTGACTTGAATGACGTGTCGTTATAAATTGTACGTTCATTATCATTCTCTTGTTTTTTCACTGCATCTGATCACCTGCTGTGTATTTTAAAGCTTTTCCTCTGTAAGCATCATGTCAGTAAAGATGGTCACCATGACTGGGATTTAGTAAAGTAATTTCGTAAGCTCTTTTAGCAGCTGAAATGTCAGGGATGACAGTTTCCTTACACGTCTCTTACTGCTAAACTTGTCTCATGAGGACAAAAATTATGACTTTTGTGAGTGGTTCTCTAAGGGTGAAGCGATATCTTCTGAAATATTGCATTCAGACTGGCTGTAAATGTCTTCCAATAATCCTAATTTTTCCACGAGTTTAATGCATTTTTTCTGAAATCCCTCATAAATAGTTTCTCACCTGATGAGTGCAGCCACTCCTCTATAAATACAGCCATGACACCTCTAATGCATTTCCAGTGGTGTTGCTCTGGTTTGAAAGTGTCTGTGATGTCTGGCTGAGGACACACTTCCTATTTTCTCCTCCCTCAGAAGCGACTCAAAAGCCTCCATCCTTTCTTCCTCTTTTAAGTCCCATTTCCCACTTTAGCTCATCATATTTCAACAGGCACTGGAGGGGCGAGCCTACTGATTTTTACATCTGATAGCAAAGCCCCCATCTCTCATCCTCACTATGCTCTCTGTCTCTCACTTCAGCAGCCTCCTAATTTAATTTCGGAGGAGAAGTTAGAGCGAGTGAAGCGTGAGCTGTGAGATATTAATACTGCTTCCCCTGAAAATCAGAATGATAAACTGCTATTGCAGTTTTGCTTTCCAATATTTGCTGAGCAAGAATTTCGCCGAGCATATGGACGTTCTGTTACAGTCTGATCAATGTAGCATTTGAAACGTGTTTCCACAAGCCCTTTATGTCCTTGTCCCTCCCCCCTCGTTGAGTTCACTCGTCTCTAATCAGATAACAGCACGCTCTTAGCTTGTGAAAACACACATTTCTCGATTAGTTATTTTTTTCAATTAATTCATATACATTCCAGCTAAATCAATCAGTTCTTTACCCTACTTTTGCTCTCATTTTCAAACTCTCTAAAACATTTTTTTACTCATTTTGTTTCTACAGTAAAATCTAGGTCCAATATTGGGCAATATGTCTGGTAGCTGAACCTGTTTTTTTTTTTGTTTTGTTTTGTTTTGCTTTGTTTTTTTCTCAACCCTGGACCTGAGGGTACGTTTCCCTGCATCCCATCCAAAGCAGATGATTTCTTGCTTCAGCCCACCTGATTTCTATTGACGGCAGATTAACAGGCTTTTCCAGAACTGTAGCAAAGTATGTCAAAGGAGTCAAACATCCAAAGCATGCAGCCCTGCAAAACATGCAGGGCACTCTTCCTAACCCTGGTGCCCCAGAGTTAGGAGACACTGAGCTGCACCATTGTCCAGTTTGGTTGGGGGAGATTAGAAAGGTTAGGTCACTGTAAGGTCAGGATTACTGACCTCAAACCGTCGTCATGGTTTCAACCTGACATGATTAAGCGAGTCAAAGAAGAAGAACCTCTTACAACATGTGATATCCTGTTTTCAGCGGGCAGGGATAAAGCGACGCAAACCAACTGGCGTTTAGGAATGACTATGATGAAGATTGTTATGGTGTTCAGTTCTTGTTTGTGGAAAAAGTGGTTTGGGATTTTATAGGAAGAAGTCAGAATGTAGTTTCTAGCCCTGATGCATGTATAGGTAGATTCTTGTGGTATGAAAAGCAAGACTGTTTTACGCTAGGGTAATTTTTGAAACATATTGGGAGAAAAACAAGAATAAGATTTAGATGTTTTCATTTGAAGTGGCAAAAACATGAAATATTTCTACTATTTCTGAAGTAATGTTAAAATTAGAATGTTTTGTTGACCCTTTATATTCCATATTGTTCTGAACTTATGCAGAGTTAGTGCTTACTGTCTCTACTGCTCAGAATGTCATCCTTATTTTGCCATTCTGTTCTCTGGAGAGCAACACGGAGCGTATAAGAGGCTTAAGTTTGCTGTTTAATTAGTCGGGCTATCTGCTTGGGTAGAGCTTAACATATGTGCTGCTTGTAGTTTGCCAGTTGCTGTTAGCTTTATAAGATTGATCTGAGGTGCAACTTTAAATTTCACCCCAGAAATATTCAAAATCTTTCCTTTAAGCAGGAATAAACCGCCTGAAGCCTTTTATTCAGTTGTCCAGCAGAGTGCAGTCACTGGTGGGGGAGTGGAAACATTGTGTGATTCACAACCAAAATAATCTTCTAACTCTCTGGCTCTTTTGTATCCATATCAGTAAAAGCATTTATGTAAACCAGAGAAATGGTACCACAGACAATTTTAGCAGTTAAAAAGATGTTACTTTTTAAAGCACTTGTACATATTGATATGACAAACTAGTCGATGCTTATCAACCACATCCATATTCATAATGGAACTCAAATATTTTGATAACTTTTAGCACCTGATACAGACGTGCAAGTTGATGAGTCGGTATCTCATTCGAATATATAAGTATATTTTACCAAACAGGGCTCTTCTGTGTTAGAAAATATCAGTTTCTTTTAATGTCATATTTTTTGTTAGTTTTCTGACCCACATGCAAGGCACTCCCAGGAGACCAGAGACATTTTTAAAAGATGTATTGATACAATAGATATGGAGCAATGAAGGCGTTTAAAGCTTGGAACTGCTGAGCGATGAGGACTGGAGCCAGTGAAGAGGAGAGAAGTGCGTTGGAGGGCGGACAGGTGGAGGAAGGTGATGAGGAAGAGGAAATGAAGATCCTGAGTTTTATACGGTTGAAGAATAAACACTTGTACTTTTAGAGGCCTTCACATCAACTTTCATACTTGCACTATAAATGGCCTTCAAAGCCCAGATGAAATGGTTTGCTATGATAATAATAATGATAAAAATCTGAAATGTATGAATATTGTCATCTAATTTTATTAAAGTTTTTTTTAACTAAGTTTTAAAAAAAAAAAAAAAAAAGTTCTTTTTATTTTCCTTCAAAAACGGTTTTTGGAATCAACATATTCAACATCCATCTGTAAGCTATATCTAATTTTATAAGAACAAACTAAAGTATCTGCCTCTATATTCTAACATTTTTCATAGAAAACAAAATTACTTTTATGCTTTACCTTGAAAAGTTTTGAGCTAAAATGGCTTTTAGTCATTTGGAAATCTAATTCAGATGAAACTAAACTAAATTTGAGAAACTGAAGCTGCTGATTATGAACTTGCCAAATGTTTTAACTTAAGACGTACAATTAAAGTTGTTTTTTTTCAGCTGCTCAGCATTTATTGTGGATGTTGTGTGTTCAGTTTGTGTTATTCTTTCAAACAAAACATATTAGATTTTAAATTACAGTTTGCAAAGTTTTTATATCTGAACCCTCAGTCTTCATAAGGGTCATTAAAAGTAAATCCTACACCTGTCCTAAAATAGACTATGGGCTATTTATGGCCATTAGCTATTAGCTGTAGCCCAGGAGAGAACTAATACAAAAGAATGATGCGACTCAAGTGAAAAACAAATCTTGCCACAAATTAAAGTTCCAGTATCCTGTTAAAAACTTGCTTATATATTCTGTGTGAGATTAAATGGAATATATATATATAAAATAGATTTTTATTTTTTTTTTTAGAACACAGAGTGCTTCTGAAACGGCTCCGGCTTTGAACAGATTTAAATGTATGACATTTTACTTATTTTTCCATCTTCTTCTAAATGTGAACCCAAGCTTGCCCATATCCGTGAGTGGACAGTGCGGATAATCCTCACTCTGTGGTTGAAAGAGTTCATGAATAGTAAGCAGATGACTCAGATGTCCACTTAAATCCATGTAAGACGCTTGGTGTCAAACACCTGACATCAGCTTCCACATCACCGCTCTGATAATAAATACCTCTTTGCAGTTGCTGAACTGAGACAAACTGGATTAAATGGGAAAATTCAGCTCTCCTCTAATGACATCAAAAGAATACATTAAAACGTACTTGATATAAAAAAAAAAAAAAAATGGGGTGTTCCGTTTTTCCTTTGTGTGTTAAATAAGTGTTTTATTGGTGTTGGATGTTGTCAGTTGTTATGACGAGGAAACTGTGGTTTTGAGTTGTTCTTCAATGTTCTTCAATCTGTGTTATGTTCCCTTTGCTCTGGTACACTGCACTAAATTAATAATGCCCACATCTCCAGGTTTCATTTAGTTAAAATTGTTCTACAGCAGCAACGCAGCTAGGGTTAGTATGTAAAAGAATAGTCTTTTTGCCCTCCAGCGTTGTGCGCATGTGCAAAATTTCCAGCTGTAAACAATAACATGCAAGATGTCCATACCGACATATCCTGGCAAGGTCATGGTGTCCATCTCCATCGGTCATTGGGCGACAGGCAGGGCAGACCCTGGACAGGTCGCTGGTCCATCGCATTGCATAGAAAATAAAAATAAAAAAATAAAAAACATTAAAAAGATATAAAACACAAGTACCGGTAGGTAAAAACACAACATATATCCAGCAAATGAAATGGATGCAGTAAAGTACATAGAGTATTTGGACAGCTTTTGGCACCAGACTGCGGAGCAGTTTGCTTCCGCTTTTCATGCTGCACTACGATCTGATGACGGCATGAAAAGTTAAACCGAATGTCAAAGGTTATATCTGACAATGTTCAGTGCCCTGGTCCTGCTGTGGCTCTGAAACAAATCCTGGACAGAGTGCAGAGAAAAGCCAGTGACCTCCTTAGGTTCCCTCACTGTCCACTGCAGGGCTCCGCTGTTTGTCATTTTGCATATCACAGTCTGAGCTGATAGATGGGTGTGTTGGTTTAAGTGCAGTCTTTGATAGATCTGTTTCATGGGCTTAGTGGTGTTCTTCAAGTATCATCGGCGATTAGTTCCTCGATGACCTAAATGCCGATGTCATAGCTCTGTTAGCTTTATCATAGTAAGTCAGAATGATGTAAATACTGTTAATTTAGCTGCAATATATTTTCTCAATCAGGACAGGTGACTTTTTTGGCTTTCTACTCGACTGTTTAGCCCCAAAGCCCTGAGGCTTTTGCATATAACCTTGGTGGAAATTCTGGCACAGATATTTGGCGAGATAGTTGCCAACTATCTGTGGCAAGATGTTTTATTTCATATTTTTGTGTTTTACTGTATCCTATTAAAGTTAAATAATTATTTAGCCTGTAATATCTACCATTATTAAAAAAGAAGGTTTAGAAATTCTAATCAGTATTTCAAAATACAAAATCTGACCTGGTTCTACATTTCCAATAACTACAAACCAACTATAAATGTGACTATATTAACCACTGCTGAACATCTGCTTTCCATCCTTCCAGCTTTCAGCTCTGCCATCCATTCTCTAGACGGGGCGACGCAGCGGAGCGACTTTGTCTCCATCCTGAGGGAGTTTGGGAACCACTACGTGCAGGAGGCCGTTTATGGCTTCCAGGAGTCCTGCACCATCTGGTACCCCAACAAACAAGTCCAGAGACAGCTGTGGCTGGAGTACCAGGACATCAGCAAAGGTAGGACAATGAAGTTTGTGTTGGTATTTGATTTAAAAAGAATAGAAGACCTAGTGCGGAGCTTCTGTTTTGTGATTAAAAGAGGAGTTGATCATGTATGTTGCATGATATTTTCATCTGAAAATATCCGAAACTATCCTACACCTACTGAAAACTCTTGGCTCCTTTGGGTAACTGAGGTTTTCGCTCCCATATTACCTCTAGAACTCTTTTCAATATTCACCGTATGTGTGACTGAACAACTTTTCTGAATGACATAAAACTTTTACTACCAAACAGTGTATTTAAGTTTTTTTATACATCAACTATTTTAGATTAAAAAGACAAACCAAACAAAAAAAAACCCTCTTGTCTTGATCACTCTTCGTAGCCAAGCAAACAACTTATCTTTAATCATCAGAGTCCACATTTCTTGTCTACTGTAATGCTTGAAGTTCTGTTAGCTGCGTCTCGTTTAACGTAACGATTTATCTACGTTCAGTAGGCGACAGCTCCAAGCCTGTCAGCACTTCTTTTATCTGACATGATCAAAACATGTTTTTGTGGCGTGCTGTCTACTCTAGATACAGTTTGCGGCACACAACAGCCATGCCACAACGTGGTCACTTATCAGTGTTGCTTTGAGGTAAATTCTGCATTATTACAACTGAAGAAGCCAAACTAAAGGGCGCTAAAGGGTTTGAAGTTTTCCCCAATCAAGCAATCAAAGAATCGATGTCTTAGCTTTCCTTGTACTGTGAGGACATGTCAGCCATTTCAGTTGAACAATAAGGTTGAACATACAATACTGACAACTAAACCTCATAAAATCTTACTGTAAGTAATTATTTTTTTCCGGGGAAAAAAAAAATTGTCAAAAGAAGGAGACGTAATCTCTGCCAACAAGCTGTCTGTTCTACACAAACAGAGACACTTTACCTTTGACTTCAGGAATTAATATTCTTCTAAACAGATTAGCACCATTAATGATGGGATTAATGATTGGACATAGGATTAAAAATAATCATGTTCAATTCTCCTTTTGACATAGACAACACTATCGCCTAAGGGAGGCTCAATTCACCAGGCTAAACAATTACTGGCATCAAAGTGTGAATTCAGAACTGGAAATAACAAATGTAGCCTTTCAGAAGGTCATTTGCAGCATTAATAATGTGCCTGCCTGTCTTACGTTTATGACATTATGCAGCGCTTAGACAGAAGTTGAAGCGTTGTTGAAACATTCTTTGTAAATCCCTCTGTAGCACGAACGAAACTGTGACACACAAAGGTGCTGAAGTCGCTACCCAAACAGAGGAACGGCCACAGTTTCCTTCAAAATAAAAGGAGCATATTCAAATCTGGGTTTTGTATAGAATGCACTTGTCTAGGACATTTGAATTGTGACGTGTGGGTGGAGGAGAAAACACAAGCTGAAAAACATGCACTCCTTGGTTTCTAGCAATTTATTTACAGGACTGTTTTCTTTAGAGAATCAATGCCTTTCGAATTGAGGTAGGTTAAAAGTAGATGCTCTCGCCCTGCTAACTGAAACAGGTTTTAAAAAAGGAATAAACAAAAAAAAAATGTTTTTAATCTTTTGTATTTAGTTGGTCAAATGTTAAAAGAACATGAAAAACATCGGATTTTGTCCGTGCGATACTGCGCGTCTGCTCGTCTAAGATTTTTGGCAGAAATCTATCAAGAATCCCCCTCTGTCCTGTCAAATGGTAGCATAGCGATTACGCTGAGCTGTGAAGATGCGGAGTGGCTTAATCAAAGTGGATAAATGTTTCAGCTTGGCTCAGAACCGTCTGTTTTGAGGAAAACAAAATTGATTCCATTGGCAAAAACTTGAAATCAGAGTCATCTTTCTTAATCTCTTCTCGGCATCTTGGAAATATCTTGCCCTTTTGCAGGGAGTAATGAGCTCACAGGAGAGTTTGATGATCCATGTCCCCAGCCTTTGCTCCAAATACAAGATGTGCCTGACTGCGGCTTCTTGCCTCCATATTCAGGAGGAAGCCAGGCTGATCTTCATCTGATTCTTTTCTGATTGGGTCACCGACGTGACCCGTCCCTTTTTGGAGTGGGCCCTGCGTGTCGATTTTTGTGTTTCAACATAACGAGAAAAAGAGGATTTCCCAACTTTGAACCATGCATGTGTTTGACCTGAGGTTGTCAACCTCAATTTAATCATTTTAAATTCATGGTTTAAAGTGACGTTTGCGAGAATCATTATTGGTTGGTGAGGGGCCAAAAAACAAACAAAAAAAAAAAATAAATAAAAAAAAATAAACTGTATTCTGTAAATTTAAATAAAGATTTTAATCTGTTGTTTCCTAATGAGTCAGAAAATCACACACTAAAATTCCTGTAGAAGTCATGTTTGTGTAGACACAGCCATAGCTCATTAACCACGGTCAGGCAGTGTGTGTGTGTGTGTGCGTGTGTGTGTGTGTGCACGCGCGTGTGTGTGTGTGTGCGATTGCGTGCGCATGTGTGTGTGTGTGTGTGTGTGTCCTCGTCTACTTTTGGTCATGATGCCTTGTCCTGGTGATTAATAGCACTTTGTTCTTTGCTCTGGGGTTTGATGTAAGTTTCCTATTGTCAGACACATGACCTCAATTACCACGCCAGAGATCAGACAGGAATAGCATGAAAGCCGCTGCTGCTCCCTACATGTTTTGACAATTTATTACATTGAGAAACTGCACATGATGTGAAAGTTGTTTCTGTCGCAGGCAGCTCCTGTTTGGAGGTCCGGTTATTGTAATCTGATGGGAAAGCTCTCTGGTTCTTTCGGAGACCACGATGTTCCCATCAAAACCCGGCCTCGTCTTCTGACGACCCGGAGTTACAGTTCCGGGTTGTTGTTCTGATTGTCTTATACACCATTTAATGTCAGGCAGCATGATCAACAAAACAGGAAAACATAATGTATTTTAAAAAAATAAATTAAACTATTTTCTTCATTCCTGTGCTACAGAACAAGAACCTGAAATAATGTAAATGATTGCTGTGTTTCACTAAAGTTAGTAAGTAGTTTAACTTACAGCTTTATTAAAAATAAGTTTTGGGACTTTTTAAATGATTGAATTATGGTAGTTGTGGCTTTACGTGCTGCAGTCCAAATCATTGATATTTTAGGCTTCTGCTTGAGTGACGTGTTTGGATTTGAGCTCCTAATGCCGTAGGCCGATTCCCGTTTCAGCAGTTGAGACTCTGCAGCGGGATATTCATTTCATTCACCTCTGTTCACCTCCAGCCACAGGTGCTGATCACAGAACTCGCCTGCTACGAATGTCAATCCAGAGCAACTTACGAAACGGAGCAGCCAACATTGTTTCCCAGGCTCCCAAAAGTTTCCTGTCAGATCTGGTCTAATTATAACTTCCGATCCCAAATACACACGTGCCTGACAGAAAGTGCAAATTCTGCTAGCTCTATTGCAGCAGAGGGCACAGATAGGATAGGAGAGACAACAGAACAGCCGCTGTAGGTGACAGTGGATGGGAGCGCGGACCAGAGGTAGGCTGTACCTGCGGTTTGAGGGATGCTCCTCAGGTGACAGACCTGATACTGTTTGTTTATATCAACGTGATGGAGCCGCTGCCTGATCCAGAGCGGAGGGACGGATTGAGGCTGCATGTTTTCCTCTTTCTGCCTGCAGCTCACGGAGCGTTTTATACTTTACTAGAGCTGTTCAATGAACTTAAAGTCAGAAGTCGTGGCAACAGCCGAACCATTTTGTGTTTGGGAGGGGAGCGCTGTTCCCCACTACGTCAAGCACAATTACGTAGACAAAGTTTTACGTCTGTTAAATATGTGGATTTCTGTTTTGTTTTGTTTTTTTTTCTTTAGAAACAGGGCTTAAAAAAAAATACTCAGCTATGGGCCACTGTAGACATGGAACAACTGATGTACATATACAGATGTACAACTTCTACGTATTTCTTTTCTCTTCCAAAGTATAAATATTTAATTTAATGTTTAACTGCTGTGAGTATGTGAAATAAAAGTCAGATTTTTGCCTTTTTTAATTGCGTCTTCCTACACTATTGAAAATAAAGGCAAATAAGCAACAGGGTGATAAAAGACATAGTACTTAAAGTTTTGAAAGGGTAATTTTCTCACTTGTAAAATAGAGAAAAGTCATTAAGGGCTGTGTGGGTAGATAAACGTCTACCAAGAAATGTCTCCAGACTTCTCAAAAATACCACTTAATAGCGCAGCTCAGTTTTCCAAACTCTTTGGATGTGAATACGATTAGCCTAATTTACTTTGGCTCTTCTCACGCTTACCGAGTGGCTTGTCGTTGAACATTTGCGGGGACCACGCTCGCCTCAGAGCAGCTCCAAATGCTTTGGAGATATGTCAGAACTCTCCAGGCGGAGTTAAAACTGGAACATTACTCGCGAGCAGAAAGCGACATTATAAAGCTCGCCTAATTGTTAAATGTCAGAGAAAAGAAAAGAAAACAACGCTGATACGCATTGTTCAACAAGCAAAAAAAAAGTTTGAAGGAAACAGAGCAGTCAGCAATGCCTCTCGGAGTCGAAGCTCCCAGTTTTGTTGTTGTGCTCTGCTACTTATATTAACTAAATCAGCATGGCCTCCTTCCGCCCCCTCAGTGCCCTTCCCCGCTGAGCCAGGTGTCAGCTCTTAACCAACCTCCTGTACAGCTTTGCATGCCGGTGTGCGGCGTAACAATCATCCTGCCAGAAGCCAGGTAAAAATAGACGCCTTATTTATTCTATTAGGGCCTGTCACTTTAATGCTAAGCACTCAACAAAGTTTCGCTTCAGGAAAAGGGAGAGCAGCACAGAAAAGAAGGGGAACGTGTTGAAGATGAGCTGAAAAAGACGTGGCAGAAATTATACGGTGGCGGTCCTGACCTGCGAGGAACCTTCACGCGCAACTCCAACACCTCGGAATAAACGCCGCCCGCCCTGCCGAGGTGCAGCGGTGAATTACGCCCTTAATTCCTGACGGCGCGCTCGGTTATAAATATTTCACCACGGTTGCCTTTGGTTTAGTGCGTTTAGAGTATAAATACGTTAATTGCAAAACTGTCGAGAGAAATGCGAAAATAAAGAATGTGTCGATTTTATAGCACTCTGCTTGTACGGAGCGTAAAGCATGGCAGCAACTCCTCCCCCCCACTCGTGGCTGGAAGAAGACTCTCACACTTTTTTCTGGGTTTATAAGGAAGACAAATGTTGCTGATTGAAAATATTTCTGAGATGAGAACAGACCTCTATTGGGAAACTAAAGGATTGCCACTCATATTAACTTTTTCTAAATCAATACAAAACCGCATGCCAGCCCATCTCTACCTGAAACTAA